AGGCATCCGGAAGAATTAAATATCGAATAAATGCTACTCTGAAGCAAACTTATCACAATTCACTGAATAAAATGCTCACTAAGACAATCTAAGTTTGCCAAATCCCTCCTTCCGTGTTACCTCTGATTACATATACCAATTTACATGTACATAAAAAAGAACGTTTATCAGACGAACAGAAAAAAAAGGATTTGTGAGAATGTTCCATGAAACTTGAGTCTAAAAAGTGCAAAAGTCCTCAGCAGTGAGACTGCTAGCCATCGGTTACAGGGTGTTGATGAAATCGATGCCTTAAAATCCTTTTAGATAATTAAAGTTCACTACAACTCCAGGTTGCTGTGTATCACTGAAGGAATAAAACCAAATTTATGCGTCCAAAAGGGAGCCATTGTCAATCTTGCTTCACCTTCGTAAATATACTTTACACTATTTAATTGCTTTTGTTATCTTAATTGTATTTGCTTTTGACAGCGTGATTTCCTGCTCTTAATTTGTTTTCATCTATATTCTTTACCAGACCTCTTTGTGGTCTTTTTTTCAACCAAATTATTTCGCTCTTATAATTTAATAGGTGACAGTAAAAGGAAAAATAAATATTACAGGGTATTATTATTATTTCCTTTAGTTCCTAGAGGAACGTAGGGCTTCAGCCGCACGTCTCCATTGCGTTCAGTTCTCTGCCAACATTTTCACCTGACTCCACGTCTGCCCACATGCTTTCATCTCCTCTTCACATGACCTCCTGCATGTCACCCCAGCCTCACACTGACGACCAACTCGCCGCTTCTCATTTGGGTGTCATTCGAGCGATGGCCTGTCGTGTGATGTCACTTAATGGTTTTCTCAGAGTATGGCCAATCCACCTCCATTTATTCTTGCAGATTTGTTGCACAATCGGTTCCTGGTTGGTTCGCTCCCAGAGATCATTACAGGGTATAGGTAAATAAAATTGACAATAGCAGCTTTTTGGTATTAGCTGTGATAATAAAGTCAAAACTGACTGATTGAATGGTTTCAACATAGAACTTTGCACAGATATGCACCAGTTCGAGTTGCTACTCAGCCTCCATGTAGTACACAAAGGAAGAGAAGATAGAACGCGGGCACCTATAATCAAAGACAGCCTTCTCCTGTCAAAAATGTACAAAAACTTTAAAATGCTCATAATAGTCATAACTAAAATTATAAGGTAATTGAGATGATGGCACCATAAGAAATTCCCCACCGAAGTATCTCCCTTAGCGATTTCATCATCCCATTGCTAAAAAGAAACCAATATAATTCCTTCTGTCTCAGTAACAAAAAAGTTTTTTCATTCTACTCATAAAATTTTCTCCTAAAAACAGCTATATGCACCTATATATGAAAGTTATCCTGTAGATTGTAAGGGATTTATCTGAGAAGATTGTCAGCAGTGAAAGAATGTCAAAAGACCTTATTTATCGGAAATAATAATAATTTGCTTTATTCCCAAGCCATACATATGAGACAGTGTATAACTCTCAGGATTTGGTACAATATGACATCTAATTTACTCGATTACAGCAAAAATTAAGAAAAATTTATATCACAGGATACAAGTAGCTTAAATTGATTAATAGCAGTATTTTGGTATTAACAATTATTTTAAGATGTACAATGAATGTTCATTTCTTATTCAATAATGAATATTACAGACAAATTGATGGTGTAGCTATGGGTTCACCATTAGGACCAATCCTAGCTGATTTTTTCCTCGCTAAATTAGAGAATGGACCACTGAAAGGAGTAATTAATGACATGGATTTCTACTGTAGATATATGGATAATACATTTGTGGTTATGAAAGATGAGAATGATGCAATGAATATCCTTGACAAGTTTAATGATGCACATTCAGCAATAAACTTTACCATAGGGAAAGAAAGTAATGATAGTATCTCATTCCTAGACGTCTTCACGGCAAGGAAAGGAGATGGCACACTTAGGAGTGTGTATAGGAAACCTACAACAACAGGTCAGTACACTCATTTTTTGAGTTTTGTACCTTTGAAATATAAACGCAACCTGGTAAAGTGTCTGGTTCATAGGGCTAAGTTAATCTGTTCAGACTGCCCCAATGAGGAGATAAAGATTATTAAAGAATTACTTAGAAAAAATGGATATCCAGATAAATTTATTGAGACTAATATGAATTCAGCACCAAAGACAGTCAGTATGGCTACAGTTCCGAAAAAACCAATGTTCATAAAATTGCAGTTCCTCGGTGACAACATCAGCGAAATAATAACACAACGCTTGAAGAATGCAGTTAAAAGAGCTTATTATGCAGCAGAGGTACGTTGTCTCTTCAAAACCACTCCTATTCTATGTTCGAGAAATAAGGATAAACTACCTAATTTTGCCTCTTCTATGTGTATCTACCAGTTTGACTGCAGCTGCAGAGCCAGCTACATTGGGCGTACAATTAGGCAGGTTCATCGTCGTATTTCCGAACATCATCCATCATGGTTAAGCAAGGGACAAACAAGATCTATTCGTAGTTCTATTTTAGCACACCTTGTTGATACTGAGCACAAAGTTGATGTTAATACTGCATTTAAAATTATTTATCGCATTCCGACTAATCTTAACTTTGCTCTACGAGTTCGTCTTCTACAGACAGCTGAGGCAATCGGAATCCACCTGAAGAAGCCAAGCCTATGTGTTCAGAAGAAATTTGTACAGCCACTTTCCTTACCGTGGCCATCGTTACAAGAATGCATAAACAGGACTACGTCGCCCCCCTCCCCCTAAACCTATAAAAATTATAATTGTTCAAATTATTTTATTTTTATTTTGACCACTTCATCTTTAATTACATGTTATCCTTGTAAAATTAATTTATTCTAACCACTTCTACCTTTTAAATGTGTATTGATTTTCTTCGTTAATTATCAACCCATTGACATTTTGACACTGTTTAATTATTGTTAACAAACATATCACCACTTGTTTGGTAAACTGTTGTGTATTGTAATAAAAATGCTATACGTGTATATTAGAGTAGAGCCAGAGATGAGGATCTAATTGAAAAGTAAATATTTCTTCGCTCAATCTTTCTGTTTTCCAAATGTATGAATGGGGATTTTTTCTATATTCAAAGTACAATTCAGTCAAAAAATTTACAAAAAAAGTGTAAATCAATGATAATAATGTTAATGGCTAAAATTTTGAGCTAATTGAAATAGTGTCACCATAAATTACAGATAAGTGAAGATAAAAGAGGCAATTTTGTTTTGCTAATTACAAAGCCGGTTGTAATTTTCACACTTAACACTATCTTTATCACATAGAACGTGGGTGGGCCAAATAGGATATCGCTGAGTGTTCCTACCTGATTGTCAAAGAATATGACCTTTTATGATGACTTCTAGTCCTACCTGATGAGATGCAAGGCGAGAGTTATGTGTGAATAGAGAGGGTGTTGAGGGTTAGACAATATGTATTTAAACCATTTATCGCACGAGTTCAGCTGTCGGTCGACTACAACACTGATGAGCTGACTTAGTGACATACTATTTGCCCTACCGACAACCTTTAATACCCTTAGTAATATTGTAACGATAGAAGACAAGGGCCAGGCAACAGATCGTTTATTGAGGAAATCAAGAGATATTTACATATTTTTATGTACATTATTATTCGTTATTATTAGCAGAGAAGCAGCGTCTTCTGATTGGTTGTTTTCCCTCTGAAAGTTATTCTGTCATCCCTTTGTGGCCGTTTCTTAGAAGGTCAGACCATATATCTGCGATTCATACCGCCCACGCAAAGTCTGCTGTTATTGGTTGTTGAGTTAGTCTTCGTTCTTGTTTTTTTCTCCTGACCAAGATTTGGGACGTAAACATTGGTGTAAATTGCTGTCTACCAATTTGGCTAGCAGACAGCTCTCACCACAATATGACATAGTCTTTTTTGGAGTAGCCCATCTATATAGTGCATTTTACGTAAGTGTATACTGTTGATTTTACACCTGTATTCAAGTTGTATCATTAACTCGTAATTCTAAAATCATTTCTATAAATACTAACGAAATTGACAACGACATTTATACCCTTCGATTATGTTACTTAATCACGTGACATTAATATCCATCATCTATATGATCAATGACTAAAGTATTTGATTGAATATTTTGTGTATATTGATAATAATGTTATCAGATAGTTGGAGGCGATCGGCAGGAAGCCTTGCACCTAAGTTTTGTGCTTGTCCCCTTTGAGATTCGAACCCGTATCATCTAGCGGTGCAGTCAGAGACACTACCACTGAGCTAATCGGGGTCGCGATTGACCTCCTTTAGGACTGTATTAGACACTTTGATTAAACACTAAGTGCCTTGTGTTATGCGTTCAGTCCTTTGATTGGAGACCAATCGCTAGCCCGATTAGCTCAGTGGTAATGTCTCTGACTGCACCATTGGGTGACACAGGCTCGATTCTGAAAAGGCATACGAGTTCCTTCAAGATGGCGGATACCCCTTTCTGACTGGTGAGTGCCAACAAGCACGAAATCTATGTGCAAGGCTTCCTGCCGATGGATACCAACCATCTAATGCAAACAAATTCACAGCACATCGTGATGGCCAGCCACCTAGAATGGTGGCCACATTCTACACCTGATTGATGGAAACAAAGGACTAGACACATATTACTAGTTACTAACAACTAGTGTTGAATCAAAGTATTGATATTGAAAGTATTCATGGTGGTTGTACGCAGCTGACAAGAACCAACGTACTATATATTTATCCTGCCCAATAAGTTCTTCTTTTGTCCAAAATTTAACAGGCGAGAACTTTAAACGTCACCATAGCTGTAAATTACCGACACAGCTAAACATTGACAGCTTAACTCAGTTGGTTGGCTATAGTGCCGTGTTCTGGAGGCGCATTCTAGTCAAGTTAGACGAACAATTAACGCTACGTCGCAACAAGTATACACCTTTTCAACTGTTAGCTTAACTAGGAGAAACCAAAAATTTTCTTTTATATTAATGTATTCAACAGAGATTCTTTTAAAAAGAAATTTAGAAATATATAAAATTTGGAAAAAAAAAATGTTGCCATAAACTGCTATAAACAATTAAACACAAAAGTACAAGAAAAAAAGATCACAGATCACGATCAATAGGTTCAATATAAGAAAACTGTTTCTTCTTGATATTTGCATCAGTTAAGCTGAAAAAAAGGAAAAAAATGAAGATAATACATTTTCTATAGTTGGTTTGTAAGGGTTAGTTTTGTTTTTACGAGTTGATCACGAATTGATATCAGTTAGAGAACCATTGGAACACTAACCAAGGAGTACTGAACAGCCGATTCATCCTAGTTTGGGAATCAGCGGCAGTATACACCCATCGCCACGGTTCGAACCGAGGACCTTCTGGTTACAAGGCAAGCTCGTATACCATTCAACCACTGGGACCCGATTCAATGGCCAGCCTATGAATTCTAACTTCTACCAATTTGTGATTTAGCGCGACCCCAACCAATATCACCAGTGGGACATCCATCCTCACACGTGACTGGATGGACCTCACTGATCACGACTGGGGTCGCGCTAAATCACAAATTGGTAGAAGTTAGAATTCATAGGCTGGCCACTGAATCGGATCCCAGTGACTGAATTGTATACGAGCTTGCCTTGTAACCGGAAGGTCCTGGGTTCGAACCGTGGCGGTGGGTGTATACTGCCGCTGGTTCCCAAACTAGGATGAAACAACTGTCCAGCACTCCAGTGCTGGTTTCCAAGGCTTCTCTAACTGATATCAATTCGTGATCAACTCGTAAAAAAGGATTATATACTTCACTACTAGGTAGAGTATATAATGATTGATTTGGAAAGTAGCATCTAGAAAGGTAGTCAAGCAAACACTTATAACTAAACACAAGTTATTTGGTGCATATCGTGAACAGAAACGAACCTAATGAAACTGAAGCACTGAATACTTGAATACATGTAACAGTGTGGGGCGTCAGTCGGTGCCCATATCGTACTAAGTTTGCGGTTGATAGTCATAATAATAATAGTCATAACACTAATACTAATAATAATGCTTGATATCAATCCGTGGTTACACTTGAAACAGGTCAAATCCTTTCAAGCTAACTTCGAAATTAATCAGATGCTCGCTAATGACTCGTAGCAGGAGCTCTAGTGAGAAGTTGTGACCAGAGAGATCCCCCAAGTCAAGTAAGAGAACAGAGCTACTTGATGATGACATCGGCTGGTGATTGCGCTACAAATCATAAATAGGCAGGAGTTAGAATTTACGGGCCATTGGATCGGGTCTCAGTGGCTGAATGGTCTATGAACTTGACCTGCAACTGGAAGGTCCTGGGTTCAAAATCTTGGCGGTGAGTGCGTACTCCCGATGAGTCCCAAACTAGGACGAAACATCTGTTTAGTACTTCCTAGTTTCTCAATACTTCTTTAACTGATATCACTCCGTGATCAAAATTGAAACAAAACAAATCCCTACAAACTAAGTTTTGAAAATAATAATAATACAATGTAGTTAATCTCTACACTAAGTTAGAACTACATTTTCATCCCCTTATTTTGAGTGATTCTTCAAAGTTTGGCAATACTGAATACTACTCTGATTCGTAAGTCAATCATAAACTGGTAGGCGAGATTTGAATCCTATTGGTAGAATAATGCCTAGTAATTTAATCGAAGCAACGAAGACAGGACTTCAAGTAAACATAGAGAAGACATAGAAGTGAAGATATTTACCAACGGCAATAACAAGCATCAGTCACCGCCAACGGGAGAAATTTGAACGAGGTTAATTCTTTCACTCATTTAGGCGGCAGCATCAAGGCAGTTGGCACGGATGAGAATTTCAAAGCCAGAAGGGATCACGCAAGAGCAAGAACAGACATTCATTACTCTGAAATTTAGTATGACAATCTACTACAATCAGCATTAAAAGAACCAGGTTCAGATTATCAACACTTGTGTCAAATCCATTAGTGCTTCTATATGATTCAGAGACTTGGTGCGGTCACTAAAAGCATTTACAATAGGCTACTGCAGGTCTTCATCAACAGCTGCCTTCGCTGGCTTCATACTGAAGATCAAATGACCGGCGAAAAAAAAGGTTAAGCAATAAGGAACTCTGGAAAGGAACCAACTAAGAACCTATTGTTTAACAAACATTCAGAACTAAATGGAGATGGATTGGAAACAAGTTGAGGAAACCATTGACTGACATAGCGTGCCAGCCAAACCTTCGAGTGGAGCCCAAACGGGGAACGACCATTTAGCCGTTAACGGGTGACGTGAGGATTTGAAAGCTTACGGGCAATCATGGAGCCAGCTAAAGAGGGCTGCAGAAAACAGGATGAAATCGAGATGTACTGTTGGAGCTCTCGCTATGTCCCATTAGGGAACAGTAGTAAGGAATCTAATTTAAACGCAGTGAGTATACCATGTTTTTTCTGCAATAACGCGCGACGAATCAGCTGTGTGAATTGTGTATAGCAGAGGTGGTGACAACTAAGTGCCAAACTAAGTAATGTGTTAGTATAAGATATGGAGGGAATATAATCCAAGTTGCAGTATAACAATTATAAGGTAAATAAATGATGGATTTTCGCCTTTCTCTTCACTTCAATAACAGAAAGATTTCACCTGACATAGTTCACAGTAATATGTGACCTTCCTCTTCATAAAAATGACCTGATACAACCAAGGTTGGGTAACTCCAATCTCCTACCCCACCCCTAACATGACCACGCATCCTTATTCTTCAAGCGCATTTTTCTCTAAAGGGAAGTTCTGTTGTTAATATATGTGTAAAACTTGGGCACTGTGGTAGTAAGTAAATAATACTGTTTCACTGTGTGATATATGTAATAAACAAACTAATATGGAAGTTCTGTTGTGTAGCACGTTTCCACAGTGTGCTAAGTTTAAGTTTGGCACAAATAAAAACAGAAATTTACTGATGAGCACAATTTACCAACCATAATCCTATCAAGGTGCACACACACACGTCACTTTCTACATTTTTTCATGTAGTCCTAGTATTTCTCATCTTTCGATTTTATCCGTAATGATGTCCTCCACATCTCCGATGTAGATGTTGATGATTCAATAGGTGGAAAATTCAGTGATCGCCGTCTTCTTCCACTTGACTATATATTACTATTTAGAACTGTGGGTCGCAAAATTGTGTGTTAGTGCATTCGTTACAATATGGTTTAGGGTCTGTTTATGGTCTATTCCCGTATTCTGAACCCAATCTACTGATTTGATCTATGTATTTGACTTCACAGTCATCGTAAAATATTCGATAGATAATAAAGTGGGCAATATTGAGGTTAGGCATCGGTCGAGTGCTAGGTAAGGAAGGGAAATCAATAGATGAGGCTGTCAAGCTGCATCGATTGAGATGGTTAGGACATGTGTTACACATGACTAGCCATCGCCTCCCTCGACGGGCATTGTCAGCTGACATAGAGTCAACCTGGAAAAAAGCTAGTGGTGTTCAAACCAAAATATGACACCAGTCAGTGAAATCCACAACAGTTAGTTTAAGCCAGTCACGTAGGAAGATATACACTTCCTGGTTGGGGTCCTCAGGACGGCAAAACGAATGAAGGCTGGAAACAATCGGTGATATGGCTCAAAATCGTTCTCAATGCATAGCGCAGATGCATCCACTCCTTGTGACTTATGATACCCAGTGAAACTACATTGTTCTTCGTTATTACTATTCCTTTTGTCTCATTTCCCTGTCTACTGTCTGTATTGTGGATTTCTTCTACTTTATTCTCTTGCTTTGTGTGCTAAATGGAGTGTGGCGACTTGAACTGCTGCACATCTGTGCAAAGTTCTATGTTGAAAACAGACAGACTGATTCGATAGATTACCAGTTCTTCTAGTACGACTAACTGGATGCTTCAACCTGAAAGGTTCGTCCCGGAGTGTTTGTGGGTTTTGTAGACATTAGCATTATTTGTGGGAATTTTGAATTAATTTCAATTGTTATAGTTGCGTTATGAACATCAGTTAGAAAGTTCACTGGAAACCGAGGAGCACTGGACAGCTGTTGCGTCCTATCTTGGGATTCTTCAGTAGTGTGCACAACCACGACTCTGCGAGGGATCGAAGTTGGGACCTTCAGGCGACGAAACTAAGCTCGCTGACCATTCATCCTATAATCCGAATATCAATTGCCTGCTCGCTGGTGACTATTGGATAGATGTCCTGAAGCCGCGCAGTGGAAAGTCGTGACCAATAGGGTACGTCAAGTCAAGGTGAATTGGATTCTCATAGGAAATATTGGTGAGGGAAGTGTTAAATCACAAGTTGACAAAATTAGAATTCTGAGGTCATTGAAATCCAGTTCAAGTGGCTAACTATTTCGGTCCCGTAAACTATAGGTCCCGGCTTTGACTCCTGACAGGGTCGTGGGTTCGCACTGATGAAGAGTTTCTGACTGGGACGAAACAGTTGTCCAGTGCTCCTTGGTTTTCAATGATCTCTCCAAATGATGTTGGTTTATGATGTAAATTTAACGATTGAAATTGATGGACAATGAGCTAGCAAGAATTCCAGGAGAAATATGACATATTTGGCTCATGTACTAGTAGTTACAACCTTATTGTGTAAAGATTGAATCAACAAGTACGGTACGTATAGTGTTATAGAAAATGTCATACAACTCCCTGAAGTGAAAACAAGAAAACCATAATACACACAGTTTAATGGACTTACGTTTCATTCAGATTCGAATCCTCTTCATTCAACGACACGGATGTGTTAAACTGTAATACTGGTCCAGGAATGATATGACGTACACTAGCAAAAAAATCTGTTACGAGGACACGGCGTATATCACGTCCAAATAAATCAGATCGAGTGACTACAGTTGACTGACAAAGTGAATATGGACACAAATGAGACTAATTCACCAACAAAACAAAAGGGAAAGGAAAAAAGGGATTAAATGCATATTATATTATTTTTCTTTTGTATGACCAACATAAAACAAGACATGTCTATGTGAAGATGCATACAATGCTACTAAATGGGAAGCATTCAAATTAACATGAAAAGAAATGTATATTTATAGCCTGAAAAATCACACAGATTTGTGAGAATCGTAAAGAACAAAAGCCAGAAGGTTCTAGGTTCAAATCCCTATGGGTGCGTACTGATGAAGAGTCCCAAACTAGGATGAAACAACTGTCCAGTACTCCCAGGTTTTCCAATGGTTCTCTAACTAATGTCAGCTCATGATGAAATCCTGTAACCAATCGAATCCCTACAAACCAACACTTGAAAAACGAAGTTGTTCAGATTAGTGAAGATAGCATACGAAGATAGCATAATCAAAGGATGAACTATGACAGGCAAAAGATAACGTGCCAAAATCAGTACAGATCCGCCTTACCAGTACTCATTCCTGAAAAGCTTTTAGCCATCGAAACCGCAATTTATCATGATAGAAGACACTTTATTTAGCCTCTTCTCTTTTCTTGATTTTAATTCGTTCGCGATAAATTATTAATGAGATAATATTCTTTTTTAAAATCAACTTCTACGTAATTACTTCAAATTAATTTTCATCTTTCCATTGAGTAACTGGACTGAAACGGTCAGCATTTCGTGATATTTCGGCTCCCAGTACAAACGTTTTGACGATGTCTGAGGATTAACATGAGGCGATTTAGTGGATAGTGACTAGGAGTGGAATCCAGCATACGCATTTCGTCCCGACTGGGACTCGTCACTTGGATGTACCTGAAATCCCCTGTTTCGGTCAGCTACAACCATGGCAACGTAGACCCCCTGACGCTAGCCCCACTGCCTTTTGAATCAAACCTATAGTCAAAGACTCGAGGATGGTGGCACAAGACAACCACCTGCTTCGGTCTGAGTGTCCGGGCAGTAAGTATCGCAGTCCTCACACAAACTATGTGACTTTCCGGGGCGCAACTCTTGGTGCCAATAATGCACCAAGTTTGTATTTTAATAGTAAATGAGGCAAAATAAAATACTTCAACTGGTTACTCATAATCATCATCGTAAAAGAGGATGATTTTTTATCGTTATCATTGTTATTAGGAATAAATTATGAATCAATTAAACACAACTGAAAACTTAGTGAGGCGTTCGAAGTCCATACAGAAATAAGACAAGGCTGCTTGCCTATTATCATCGATGATATTCCTAATTGTGGTGGACTGGATTATGCGTCAGACTGTACATGGGGGTAAGAAGACAGCAATACGTTGGACCACAGATAAGAAGATCTGGATTTCGCACATGGATGGTTGATATCTAATGTCACACAAACTTGAAGCCTTACAGGTAAAAATCAACAAACTGGTAGAAGAGGCAGGCGGCGAAGACAGGACTGCAGGTGAACATAGAGAAGACCAAGATGATGAAGGCAACCAACCAACCAACAGCACCAATCACCATCAACGGGAGGGATTTGACAAAGGTTACTTCCTTAAGTTATCTAGGAAGCACGGTTTCAACCACAGGCGATAGAAGGGGGAAGATATCACAACCAGAACAGGAAAAGTGAGATACGCCGTCATCAACCTGAAAACAGTTTGAGAATCTTCTACTTTAACTCAGTCAGCATAAAGAACAAGATTCGGATTTTCAACATAAAAGTGAAGTCAGTCACAGGTCATGAAGTTGCAGTGAGTGTTACGAAAAGGATTTCCAACAAATTACAGACTTTTATCAACAGCTGCCTCCGCTAGCTCCATATTGTAACGACAGAAGTCAAAGGCCAGGCAACAGATCGTTTATTGAGAAAATCAAGAGATATTTATGGATTTTTATACACATTATTATTAGCGTTATTGTTAGCAGAGAAGCAACGTCTTCTGATTAGTTGTTCTCTTGCTCAAGGTTATTCTGTACTGCTTGCGACCGTTTCTCAGAAAGTTAAGCCATATATCTGCAAATTATACAATTTGCACACGTTAAGTCTGCTGTGATTGGTTGGTAAGTTCCTCAAGGTTAAGCTTTGTCATTGTTTGTGTCATGCCCCCGATTCGAGACATAGCACTGACGTAAATTGCTGTCTACAATTTTGGCTTGTTCGCAGTCAGCTCTCAGCCACAATATGACCAGAAAGAATTAGCAACAAGAACTCTGCAATGTAACGAACCAACCAAGAGTCCATTGCTCAACAAATATGTAGAAGACAATGCAAATCGATCGGGCATACGTTGAGGAGACTGTCGAATCACATCGCGCACCAGGCCATTGCTCGAGTGGAACCAGAATGGGAAGCGACGATTGGATCATCAGTGCGAGAGTGACATGGAGGAAATCGTGCGAGTTAGAGGAGATGAGACATTGTGGACAATCGTGGACCCAGTTGAAGAGGACAGCACCGAATAGAAAAAAATGGAAATGTGTTGTTGAAGCCCTGTGTTCCACTCGCAACCCAAGGGAATAATAATATGCACCAACTGTTGTACAACAGTTACACAACGAACTCAGCTTTTATCCATGCGATTACGTGATGAAGTTTGTTAACAGTATTGAACAATAGTCACTGATATTTGTGTTTAACAAGATCCAGTTAGACAAGAACAATAAATCCCACTATATTAACTCACTAAGGTTAAATGATGATGTAATATATCAGATCCCTCTACCATTACACTACTAAACCATCGCATTCAAATTTCATTCATATGAATGTACCATGAAATGGATGTCGAAATGCATGTATGAAGACAGAATCATTTAGAAATCCACCAGCCATGTACAGACCACTTATGAATACCACTGGGTATGTATTTCTACTCTTTTCACTTAATACTGTCAATCACCAAGTAGCTTATTGAAAAAATCTACAATTAACTATACAACATGGACCTATTTTACAGATGAATGAATGGTTATGAATGACAACTTTATACATTTTAAAACGATTCAAAAGTGTTATGTTTTGATATTATTTGATAAGTGGTGACTAGCAGTGGAAGGCTGAACACGCGCTTCGTCTTAATTAGAACTTATCGGTAAGACATATTACCTGCAGCTCACAGAAACTGTGGACGACTACATTAATGAACCATCTGCAAAACCTTTAATGCCGATAAGGGGACACAGAAGACAACAACATACAGTGAAGTTAATAGAAGAAAAAATGATTATTTTAAAAGGTATAGATAAAGCAATCATTTCACATTTCTGAGAGCAAAACGCTTATCCTACTCCTAAAGAATTTCGATGTTTGTTCTATTTTCTGTTGAATAAATAATAATAATAAGCATCACAGAAACACTTTCTTCCAACATTGCACACGAAACATTAATCTTTTCATGAAAGAAAACCCATATTCCGTAAAGCTATAGTTAACCTTTACTCCTTAGGACTATTTGGCATATCATCTTGAATGCTCTAGCTAATAAGGAACAGAATTCACTATGTGGTTAAACACACCAGTGGATTTGTTAAGCTCCATATCGTCAACAGCCCCCCCCCGCTATGGTTAATTGATGTGCGTCACAAGTGGCCTTTCCAACAGGCTATTGCAAACTTTTATCAATACCTGCCCTCTTCGCTGCATACTGAAGATGAAATTCGCCGACCAGAAGGGAATAGCAACAAGGAACTCTGCAAGTGCACCACCTAAACAAGAACCTACTACCCAACAAAAATATGCCAAAAGAAGTAGGGATGGATTGGACACACAGTGAGGAGACCGTTGAGTAACATCCCACGCTAGGCAATCACTCGAATGGAACCCAAATGGGAAACAGCGAGTTGGGCATGACTTTGAGGGTAACATGGAGGAGATCATGTGAGGAGGCGTCAAGTGATAGGTAAAGAGGGGAAATCAGTAAACGAAGTTGTGAAGCAGCTGTATCGATTGAGATGGTTAGGACATGTGTTATGCATGCCTAGCCGTTGATTATGAGCAATAAATTGTGCTCGAAACGTCATCAGTAAATATTACTGTATAACACTGTGAGACTCTATCAAAATAAAAATTTACCCATAATGGAATGACATTGAGTGAGGCTGGAAAAGTGCCAGTGGCGGTCAAACCAAAACATGGCACACACACAGTTAGTTTAAGCCAGCCACATAGGAAGATGAAGACTTCCTGGTTGGGATCCTCGGGACAATCGGTGATATGGCTCAAAATCGTCCTCAATGGCTGGCGTGGATGCATCCACTCCTTGTGACTTATAATTTTTAATAAAACTAAATTGTTCTTCGATATTACTATTCTTTTTGCCTCATATCTCGCTTTACTGTCTCTATTTTGCGTTTCTTTTCACTTTCTTATCTGGTTTTGTGTGCTCAGTGAAGTGTGGCGATTCGAACTGCTGCACACCGGTGCAAAGTTCTATGTTGAAACCAAATAGACAGACAGATAGATGTGAGGAGATGAAACGTTATGGACAATGGTGAGGTTAGGTTAAAAGGAGTGCAGCGGACGGAGTGAAATGGAGATGTGCAGGTGAAACCTTATGTTCGACCAGAAACCAAAAGGAATAATAATAATATAATAGTGGTGAAGTGGTATGAAATCAACAGACAATGCACAGAAGAACTGTACTTTAATGTATTGTAATGTCTATATATCTACGCACCATTATTATTATAACTGTTACTATTAACAAACATACCTAATACTTATAATAATAAAGCATATAATTAATAAATTGCATAACTTACAAATTCGTATAAAGTTTTTTTACTCTCTGGTGTAAGTGACTCCAAAAATTTAAATGCATAAAAAGAATATCGATCAGACACGTAGGTTCCAATCTCACGATCAGCATGCAACTATAGAATGAATTTTTGAAGAGGAAAAACAGTGTAGAGCAAAATTTTTAAAGAAATATCAGATGTATATACAGTCTTTAAGATTTCTGAATAGATAATGTACAATATTATTGTTTGTTTAAAATTTTAAACTGAGTAGTTACTTAATGTGTTAAAGTGTTTTTACACCTTATATTCTCATGATACTTTAGGTAACATACAAGATTTGTTTGACTGAACTCAACTACCCGGAACAGATCATTCAGGCTACCAGGCTAAGAGCCACAGTTATCGTGTAGTGACTGATGATGCCACCCAGTTGTCTATGTTGACGTAGCTGAAACGGGACTCGAGCCCAATCGACTGAAAGCCTAGTCGCTTTAAGCAATCTCACACATTCGCATCTACATGAAGTACAAACAAATAACTGTACGAAAATCTGAACAACACAGTGTGCCACATACATCGCGCGCTGACTACTTACTACACCATTTAGTACGCGAAGCCAGAATGACCATGGGCTTCGACTCCGATAGCTCGCTCAAGCACCCAATTTTCAAAAAATGGTTTCCATAATAGAGACCCACCTCACATATATTACAGTATGAAACTGAGTTCTAACAGAATTTTCCAATAAAAATTATTAGGTCAGGTTAAATACTGAATGCAGGTACATCCAGATGACGAGTCCTAAATAGGACGAAGTGTGCATCCTGAATTCCACTGCTAGTTACCATCCACCAATTAAATACTGAGATCGTCAAAACAAATCAGACTAATATCAACAACGAAATACAAAGACCATTGAAACGAAGAAACATCCCCCCGTCGAAGTCATCAACTAGGTTGTGCATTCGTGAATATATAACAAGGTGGGTGAGAAAGTTCCAGAATTATTTCTGGCCGGAATTCAAAATATACCGAATAACACGAAGTTAAGCAACACAAGCGGGAATAAAAACATAACTATAAAAGGAATAAACACGAAGTTCAAATTGAATACATAATCGGATAATAATTATTTGGTGTTGAGAAAATAACTCTTTATGACAGCAATGATAAAACAAAGGCTGCAAGTGTTTCGTTCTATACATAACGTTGGCTTTAATTTTTCGGTCACTAGTGACTCATCTATGCAAAGTTTGATCGAGTCTTGTAGAGGACCTGAAGGACTTCTCAAATGTAGATCAGTGTGCTGAGTTCACAAGACATACCTAGGTTCTCCCTTTGATAGTCAGGCTGGATAGTGTTTCACACAGTGCGTCTTACATGCGCACGCATGGTACAACAAATGTATTAGACTCCACGGGAGCTAATGCGTACTGATGTGACCCAATGCGATAGCATGTCTTTCACGTGCTGACCGACTAGTTTCTTAACAAACTATTATTCGTAGTCTGGCAGCGTATTATGTTTTACTGAAAGATATCGACAGCCGTTTTTAAAGAATCTCTGCCTCAGCATAATCAGCAGCAGAATCTTCTGGAGGCCATCTGTACCAGTCCAGACGCCTTATTTGGTTTCAGGTAGGAAGAGATTCTCCCTTAAAATTCTTCAGCGATTTCAGTAATACAGGATTATTTATTCACTGAAAACGTTTCCAGCATAATGCATGAATCATAACTGTATCAACGGTAGCCAGAGAACTCATGGATTTTGTCTCTACAGCAAGATTGTTTCTTATCCATTAATATTATAACTAACATTTTCCATATGTCTGGTATCCGTGCTAAGGCATGCTTAATGCCAAGAACAAAGATTCAGTGGTCAACCTCTGCCTCCGCCTAGTTACATCACTTTTTAGAACTGTAGACCTGACTCACTTTATTGCGATTATCTGATATCACACACATTGAAATCACTGAGTTTTCTTTCAAGCTAGTCATCTTTCTGATATGAATCATCCTACACTTTGATTTCTACGCTTTGATAAACTAACTCACCCGATTTACTGGAATAACCTACGTAGTTAACCAGACAATCATTGCAAGTTATTACATAGATTAAGTAAGATTGCACTACATGCACTAAAACACAATCGCACAACAGCATGCAACGGAGCTACAGTTATCCAAAGTAGTACACTTAGGTTGTGAGTGCCGTAATATGATTACTGTCAATAAATTTTACCCAAAACGTCATCAGTCAATAAATAAAGCTGTATTACTGTATTATATCCAAAAAACTGGCCAAAAGCTAAATGCTTAATTCAAAGAGCCACATCGTCACAATCAGCCGGCAGTTATCACAGTGGTTGTTCAGTGGTAGAATACTCATCAGCTACGAACGTCGTCAGGAGTTCGGTCCCCGGCCAACCCACTCTTACACACCTCACTTGGCCGGTAGTAAACCCAGAAAAATTGGAAGATTTGGCCTGAGGTTAGCAACCCCACCCCGTAAAAACCAAACACCGCTGCTACTGAAACTTCAAGGCTCAAACTTAAAGCCATGTGTTCCACTGGTAACGCAAAGCAATAACATAATAATGTGACATTTTTCAACAGCATAGATGATGAAGAGTCTCTAGTGCTGACTAAAATAAAATATAGTTAGGACTTAACAAACACGGGGATTATATATTTATAAAGGTATATCTTACTTTAAAAAACTATGTTGCCTGTACATAAGTAGGATGATTTGAATACAAACAAAGCAACAAACAAGAATATTGTCATGAAATTTGTTAAAATAATTGTAGTTAACTACACTCACAGACAAAGATTCTTCTCCCACTGCACTACTACCGATTGCAACTACATTTGGAGAGTAAAACAGTTTTCCCATAGATTCAGCTTGACATGTATCGACAATAAACAGTAATTCATGATACCTGTTAAACAGAAGCAAGTCAACATTGAAAGTTTATAGACTATAACAGAGAGAGAGAGAATATATTGCGATTGCTACATGTGAATCAGGTTATTTGGCTTCAGCCTGACATGACCGCTATCCAGTAGTCTATTTCTATTTAATAAAAAATAATTAAATATCTTGGTAGTAATCATTTTTGAATAGTCTATCCTTAATTACTTTGTACTGTGAGATTTAACCTTCTAAGACTCATTAGTTTCATATCCTACAAATAATGACACCTTTTCTCAAAGAATATTTGGTGATTCCGGGAAAATAACACAGAAATTCGATAACAGAACTGTGTAAAAGTAAACAAGGTGAGATATACAATTACAAAACATAAAGAATTAGACTTGTGATGGAATGAAACTAAAATCTACACTGATATTAGTGCAATTCCCTACAAAATCCATCATCTAAAATATCGATCTCTAGCTTAATCGTAGCTACTGTGTAAATAAATGTCCTGAAGTTGTTATAAGAAGCCGTGTCCAATGGAGTTCATGTCAAGGTGAAGACGATGCTCCTTAATGGCACCGGTTACAGTAGTGCTATATCGTGAATTGATAGAAGCTCGAATTTACTGGTCACTGAATTCTAGCCGAAGTGGTTGAATGGTCAACGAGCTGGCCACATAATCTGAAGCTCACGAGTTCGATCCTTGGTGAGGTCGTAAGAGCGCACTACAGAAGGACAAAACACCTGTGCAGTGCCCCCTGGTTTTCAATGATTTCCTAACTGATGCTGCTCACTAACGGAATCCACACTGAAATTAAAACGCATTTAAAAATCTTTTTTGTTATTATATATATATATATATATATGTCCTTCTCTATGGCTCTGAAACATGGCCAATACGAGTTGAAGACATGGAAAGGTTGTCTGTTTTTGATCATAGATGTTTACGATCTCTTTCTCACGTTAGGTGGCATAATAAGGTAAGTAATGTTGACATTAGGCGTAGAGTGTTGGGCAAAGGGGGAAAATCAATCGAAGAGGCTATAAAGTTACATAGATTGAGATGGCTAGGTCACGTGCTGCGCATGCCTAACCATCGCCTCCCCCAACGGGTATTACTAACTGATATAGGTGCAGGTTGGAAAAGAGTAAATGGTGGCCAAACAAAAACATGGCATCAACAATCCATGAAATCCTTGACAGTTAAACTGAGTCAGGTAGGGAGATGCAGACTTCCGGGTTGTGGCCGTCGGGACTCTAAGAATCAATGGCTGGAGACAATAGGTGACATGGCTCAAAATCGTTGTCAATGGCGCAGATGTATTCAGTCTCTGTAATCTTTCATATTCCTTTCTACCATTACTCATTCTGTTTCACTCTTATTCTTGTCAAAACTCTATTGATTCTCTTCACCCATTTTCCTGTCTACCTTTGTGTGCTATTTGGAACGCGGCAACTCGAACTGCTGCACTTCTGTGCCAAGTTCTATGTTGAATCCAGACAGACAGACAGATATATTTTTTTTATTCCTTCACGTTCCCCAGTGGAACATAGGGCTTCAAGCTAATGGCTTGAAGTTTCTGTAGCAGTGTTTATTTTACAGGATGGGGTTGCTAGCCTCATGCCCAACCTTTCCTCTTCACCAGCATTATTTCTGGCTCAGTGTGGTAAAGGAGTGCGTCGGCTGGGGATCTAACCCCGAACCATATGAGGCGTGGTCGGCGAGCGTCCTAACCGCTATATATATAATATATATAATTACAATAGAATATGTGAATACTACAAAACGACAAACATGAAGGATGTTTCAGATCATCAAGTGGCATGGTCGTGAAAACCACACATAATGTTGTGATGCTTAAAAAGATGATAATCAGATGCAGAAACTTTATCTACAAGTGTCACGATACAATACCCAATATGAAAACTCCTCCAATCGATCATACAGTCAAGAAATAACATCTGAAAGCCATTAAAATGATGAGTGTAAAGCATGTCTATACAGGCATACTGAAGGCCTTACTTATTAGCTTCCAAGCAAAAGGTGACTGGATCAAATATCACTTCATACACCACGGTCCTCGAGCTGTATTCTCGATTAAATACCTCTGCCTGGATAGTCTGGCAGCATCATAAGCACTCACAGCTTAGAGAACACAACTGACAAATAAGCATTTTCAGTGATTTTTATATCAGGTTTTACAATTAAGTCTGAGAATTATTTCAAATAGACATTTGATACCCACATGGCTGATAGGAGCAGAACTCAGGTAAGTGAACCAGTGGATAGTAAATAAAAGCGACCACAATTATAATAGGTCATGATGCAACTACTAATGTCACCAAGGTAACCAATCGTCACGAATGCTTAAGAATACTCAGTATGCGCATAAGAGTAGACGTCAATACCTGAGTTACACCACCACTTATTCGATTAATGTAAGTCATTGCATGGCAATCTTAAATAAATTACAATCGTCGCTAACTGAGACGAATTTTACAAAATAGCCTTAATTCAGCTCAATATGAATGACAGAATATCTTAAGGAAAGAATCCACCATAAACAGGTCACAGTTCACCAGGGTACAGCAATATTAACAGCTCGAAAATAGTCTTCACAGATATGCAGTAAAACTAAGCACAGTAAACAGAAATGTCACATATTAACTTAGGAGTGACGACTAGTAATCACCAACGCTATAGTAATTAATGGCAGTATATGCTATTTAGATTCATTTACGACTGACGGCTATGCAGCATGACCGATGCTGGTATGATATCCATTCGAAGTATTTTAGTCATCTCTTTAAATCCCCAACACTGAGACTATGGTCAACTAATATATATTAACTAGGTGAAAATACCTTATTCAGCTTTGACCTCCAATCTATGTACAACAAATTCTTTTAGAACTGATGTATTGGAGCCCGCTCAGGTCATAAGTGAACACTTTGCTAACACCAAAGGTTCTATTTACTGAAAGGCTGATAACGGATCACTTTCGAGTATCACTTTATTGATAAAATACGGCTTGACAAAGAAAATAAATACGAATGTCAATTGATTTTGCTGTGCTAAGTAAAAAAAAGCTCTCTATGGTCTGACTTTTAAAATAACTTCGTTTCAAAACTTGAGTGGAGAGGTATCAACCACATATTATCACAGTGTTCCAAAACTCAACTATTATATGGTGAACTGGTCGATTCATTGCGTAATTGTTGCTGGTAACACAAGTTGTGATGTAACCCGTTTAAAAGCTTTTCATTCCAAACACGGCTGGCACCGACCTACATTATGAAGTTATTTGGCAATAGCACTACGTTGTTCACCCAGACATTAATTGATCACAACTACAAGCAATCTGACCACCTAGACTACCATTTAAAAACGAAGCAGCCTAAATCAATTAGACTCACCTGCGCTTTTGCCACATCTGTTCAATTGCATCAGCCAGCTCACTATTAGAAAGTTCATTGTCATCCTGAAATTTCAGGAAACCATTGCCACCATGACCTTTACTAAATCGTTAATAACAAACCGAAGATTACCTGTCATATATATTAAGACGTTACTGTGCTCGTCAGTGTTCAGACGCTTAGAAGTGGGCGTCGATGGAGGTAAACGTCCAGTTAGCACACGGATAAAGTTCTCAACAGTAACTTCGTAACCACGATAGTCAATTTCTATTTCCTCCCCATACAGATTTACGCGACTGTAAGGGCTATTAAAAATAGTTGCTAAGGGTTTATGTATTATGTGTTATAGATTACCAGGTTTCGGATTTCTCGCGTTACAACTGGCATCATCTGCCACCATAAGAATAATGCGACTTAAAAAGTCAACTTATTTTAAAAACGCTACCTGTCTGGTATTCCTAGTCGTTTAATACTGCGATAGATGGAAAGAACATTACTTATGTGTCGATAATTAAACCAGAATCGTGATGTATCAACAAGCACTGCCCAGTTCGACGTATGTCTTTCAATTGATACACTAATAATAGACTAGAAATGAGAACGAGTACGTTGTTGTATTACCAAAAAAGAGAAGAAAAACAGCAAATAATATACGTCCCCTCTCATGACCACCAGCTTTCAGGGTCAAACGAAGAAATTTTAATTCTGCGCCACTTGCTTCATCAACAGTTAAGGTCATTTTGTCATTTCATTTGGCATCAGTCCGCATTATTGAAGGCTAGTGATTTTCAATATATTTAGGGAGGGCAGATTTTCATATCAGTGATGCTTTTAAACTTTTAGTGACAGCCTTTTCCATTAAGCCATGGTTAGACAAGAGGATAATACTGAGTAAATGAACTATACCAGTTGGAAAACATGTTCTGACGTATCCTTCGTTTCCAGGAGGGTGAGGTGAGTAGAGTGGTAGTTGCGATGAAGGCAAGTTCCATCACACGACATCTAATGGATGTATAAGTTTGAAGACGTGCTGTCGCGACAATTTCACCAAATATTCACAATTATAATTAGTTTTCATCCTGTATCTAGATTTCATTTTTGTCAACCAATTTATGGGTCGAATGATTACCTTACTGTATGTGATTCGCAGACTGCAGTTTGAAGTCACGTGTTGACAAACCGAAACGTTAAGACCAATGAAAGACATGAGTCAATAGAGGTGTTAATCTGGACGGATTTGACTAGTTTAAAGTTTGGTCACGAACTGGTATCAATTAGAGAGCCATTGAAAACTAAGGTAACTGGACAGCCGTTTTAAATTAGACTGGAGCTTTTCAGCAACAATCGACCAAGACCCCACCGTGGGTCAGGCCAAAGACCTCAAGGTTCCAAATTGACGAAACAGTTGACTAGCACTCATTTGTTTTCTGATGTGATTGTGTTCTCTGAGCTGGATAGTTAATTTGCGAAGCTTTCATCACCCTACAAGGTGACATCTTCAGCTCATACTTCGATTTGAAGTGAGCTTTTAGATTTCTCCACGAGTTTATTAATCATCTCTCCCGGTGACCTTGGACGTGATTGATTGCTTTGCGCGTTTTCACACCTTCTAGGCTACTTGTATTGGAAGTGATTGTTTCTTTGACTTGAAATTTGACCCATCATATCTACTCCATTATTTTCAGAGGTTCTCTAACTGGGATCAGTCTGTGGTCAAACCTTTGAAGTGGTACTATTCCCTTCATAACCAACACCTGAAAATTAATCTAGTGCTCACTATTGGCTGATTAGGGAACAAAGTTGCCTGAAGTTCCAACGAAAAGTCACAACCACTAAGGACAACAGGTTGGTTTCATGACAAGTGCTCCTCGATGACATTGACTGGCAGTAGCTCGAAGGATGGGAAATGACAGAAGTCGGAATTCTAGGGCTATCTTATCGTGTTCCAGTGGTTGAACGGTGCACCAGTCCACTGTGACCCTAAAGTCACGAATTGTGTCACTGGTTGTGTAGTGAGTGCCAACCACTAAGGACCCCCATTATTATTCCTTTGGTTCGGAGTAGAACATAGAGCTTCAAAAACACATTTGCACCTTCTTCCATTATCCGCGACTGACAATAATCCCTCATCTCCTCCAACTCGCACGATCTCCTTCATATAACCCACCTACCTACTACCCACTTGTTACTTCCCATTAGGTTTCCACTCAAGCATTGACCTACATTAAGCGCTACGTCGTTCGACAGCCTCCCCAACGTATACCCCATCTATCTCCATTTTCCCCAACATAATTGTTAAACAATTCGCTCTTGATCGGTTTATCGCCAGCCAGAGCTTCTTGTTGGTAATTCTTTCGGGCTGGCTGCCGGCCGAATGATCTTCAGTGTGGAGCCAGCGAAGGCAGCTACTGATAAAAGTTTCAAGCATTTCAGAAATGTTTTTCGTGACATGCGAACTTTCTGACCCGTATGGAAGAAGATATATACTTCACATCTGTGTTCAAAATCCGATTCCTGTTCTTTTGGTGTGGAGTGCAGAAGATTTCTAAACTAATTTTGGGTTGTTGAAGGCGTATCTTGCCTTTCCGATTCTAGCTACCTTTGACATCATCCGTGCCGTCCTCCTGTAGTTGAGACGATGGTTCCTAGATAAATGAAGGAGGTAACCTCTATTAAATCTCTCCCGTCAATGGTGATTGGTGCTGGTGGTTGGTTATCTTCATTACCTCCGTCTTCTCTGTGTTCACCTGGAGTCCTGTATTCTCCGGTTGCTTCTTCAGCTAGTTTGTTGGTTTTCGCCTGTAAGTGTTCTAGTTCGCGTGAAATTAGACATACATTGAACCCTAACTGTAGTGTTCTGCTGAATCTTGCTCCACTATTCACAAAACCTATTCTTCTTACTCGTTAAGGTTTTAACATTTTATAAACTAATCTATTCATTAGGACGCATGCACATACTTATGTAATATGTTCATAAGGTTGTGCATGGAGACCGATTGGAAGCTCTCACTAAGAAAGCTAGGGAAATGGAATGTGAGGTACGAACGTGTCTGGCACCAAGTAATATATTTCGTGTAGTCATAACAATCAGAGCCTAACATCACAAAAGAAGGGAAGGTGGCGCATGCTGATCAGTAGATATGGTGGTAGTCGCCAGGGTGAATCGGCCCATTCTGCAGGAACAGCAATATGCAATTTGACGGCTCGAGATTTTTATGAGGGCTTGGATCTTTATCTTTAAAAAGATAATAATGTTTGCCTAGACAGATGATGCTTCTACCTTTAAACATATATACCATTCGCTCAGCCTATCGTTGAGATGCGACCACGCGGGCTCTGCACAGATTTATGGGGCATCTTATAAATTATCATGCTTTCCTTTATGGTATTTTCGAATATCACTTCACAATGTCTCATCTCATTCATTTTCTAATAACGTCTTTCCTCGCTCCTCATTATATTCCATCAAACCTAACATTTTATAGCTCTTTATGAATTCGATTAGACTTATTCTATTCCTATTCTCTGTAGGGCATGGTTGTGCAACGAATACACAGAAAAAGTATGCAATAAAAACAACCGGCTTGTGGATAATTGTATTAAAACCAAAAGTGGACATCATTATAGTGAGACCTATATGGGTAGCATTATACATTGCAAATGAACTTTGTCATCCTAGGGATTATAGCCTCCCATTGTATTTCCTTTATTAATGCATCTATAAATGATACATCGCACTTACCTATTTCATTACACTTTAATGATTCACCTTAGCACCTTTACTTTTCTGAAACAGCTTACTATCCCTTGTAAAAGTTGTACTTATCTCAATATTGGTTGGTTATCGTATGCCAACAACCACGGGATGAAAACGAAACGGAGTCGATTTTCCTGCGCAACCTGGAGGACTACTGTACAATTCAATAATCATACGGCCTGGTTCAGACGACGAGTGTATATATATATCAAATATTTAGCTGTTGAAACATCATTAACTTGTAGGCAATCTACGATTTAAGATTAAATCATCCTTGATCGTGCCTGTAAAAATGGCACGCATTTTCATGTAAATTTATGTTTATATGAAAATATACATTATTATTAGATCTTCTAGAGTCTTCTTATTAGGGGTTCAACTTATTCATGTCTCCTCGCTCCCCACGGAGGTTTACCGTCTGTCACGTGATCCCAACGGAAACAGTCAAATGAAAGTTGCTCACTGTAAGAAAAAAGATCCTACCATACGTAAAAATTGTCTGCGGGACCAACATAATTCTGTTTAAAATTTTGGGGAGTATATCACAAGAACTGACAAGGTTTATCAAAGCGAGGATTGGGAGAGTAAGGCAAGCCTTCATTACTCTCAAGTCTGTGTGGAGGTCAACAGCACTCAGCACGAAAATGAAGATGAGACCGGGATTTGAAATTAGAATCAGTGGCTAACAGAAAAGTGACAGAATGTTTTATTGAAAGACCAAATAAAAAGGGCCGTTTGCATACCGCCTTGCAGAGAGTTAGTGTCCTTATATCTAACTCCTCCCACGTCACATACAACGCGTGCTAAATAAGATATCGTTGAGTTTTCAGACTTAGCCGCTCGAGCATAAAGTCTTGCGTAATTTCTTTCAGACCAACTTGATGAGCTGCGAAAGAAGAGTTGTGTAAAGAAACTAACAGGGTCAAATTCGTCAATTACTTGCATGATTTCAAGCGTCTATCCATAATAAGATTAGCGACGCCCCACTCGCTCGACTAACAAGTTTTGATGTCCTTCACAGTGTGAAGTCTTTTTAAAGTACCTCATTAAAGATTTGGGGTGGGTAGTAGGTGAAAATAGGTAGATTAAAATAGCCGATAATCCCTAGAAGTAGAGTGTAAGTGATATCACACTGTCTTAACCTTCTTGCTTAAAAGGCAAAACGAAACATCTTGCTAGAAATTAACACGAAGACCACGAAAGATCGGACGTAAAGACATAGTCCAAGGTATTTTAAATTCTACTTATTTACAGCTCTACTGTCTTCTATGACGGAAGAATAATGGGAAAGAACCAATTTATGCAAACTAGGTTTGTATTTGAAGGTGTAACCAACCGTTCGATATTTGGGGGGAATATTCGACAACGACCACTGGTTAATTTCTGACTAAAAGCTATTCATTTTGGAACAGTAAAGGACAGGAAAACAGTCGGATCACCGGCTTACTTAAAAAAGCTGGCTGCGTCAGAATGAGGCAAGTCACATAGGAATAAAGAAAACGGAAACAGAGAAAGGACAGCACCTTAAGGGTCACAGACTAAATTAAGTGAAGCAGAGGAAAACTTTGTTTTACATACAATGTACTGCTTCGTATTAGAAAAATAAAAATGCAGTCATTTATTAATATACCAGCCTGTTTCGCAGTAAGCTTATTTAACAAAGGAATCCTAGGTACAGGGTCAAATCAGAAATGCAATCTACGAAGGCATGACGAACATATTTAGCACCTGTCTAATCTGGAGGCAGTACTATGATGTATGACAATAGCCACATCAAAATTACATCCCCTGTGTCTGAAACCAAACTGTTTTGGAACAATAGAAGCCTTCAATACGAGCTCAAGCTTGAGTGAGCGTGATTTTTTGTTATTTTTAAAAGTAGCAAGGTAGTAGCAGTATGTTTACACTTATCGCACAATCTACTTAAATATCCTGGTATTGGAATAATTCTAATCTTTTTTCAACAAGCAA